GCTTTTAATTCACCAAGCAATAACCCAAAACTCTAGTTTAATTGATTTAAATTAGAAGTCACAGTAACGTGTTAGCTGCAAGATACAGAAGTTTATTGTTGCCATTTTTGTAATTTTTGGTTTCAGGGAAGTAGCTTTCAAACACCACGCACTCTATTGGAATGTCACTATCTATGAATGTCACTCTATCTTATATGATACACTCATTACATTATTGTCACATGCCTCTTTCAAAAGCATTGATTTATCCCTTACATCTTGTTTTCTGTGCTTCTATCCGATGACTTGTGTGAGTTGGACATTGTCCAAGGCGATGTTTCAAGTAAGGGCTGAAATTGTGGATTTCTTGCGTTCCTGGTCAAATGACTACTTTGGCTAGAACTGGCATTCTTGGAAGATGGTAGAATACAATCCTCTTGACATTAAATTTGACGGTGTTTTAACAATGTTGCTTTTTAATATATTTGATTGATATCTCTGCATTTCTCTCTCTCTCTCTCTAACTGCTTAGTCATGCAGTGATTTGATGATTTCAATGTAGTATGATTTTAGTTATCCTGGCAATCTGAATGTAGGCCTAACTGAATGGTTGGTTCTGAATGTACTGATCTCATCCTGTCTCGTGCATGGCAGTAGTGGCAGTTCAACCATTTGTTGTATCGATAAATGACTAGAGACATACATGTGAAAAATTGACCAATTTATAGTAGTGTTACTTGAATGTGGATTCTGATGTTTGTTTGTTTGCGTTTTCCTCCAGATAATGAGAGATCCTGACACAGGGAATTCCCGTGGTTTTGGTTTTATTAGCTATGATTCTTTTGATTCATCTGATGCAGCTATAGAGGTATTTTTGTTCTTGTTGATATTTTTATGCCTTGATAGTGGTATTCAGTTTTTAAGGGAGATCTGTCGCTCAGAGCTATTTTTTTTTTTTTTTTTTTCAAGACCATTTATTGGTTTTGCAATTCAGAGCCTTGTGTCACTATGGTACTAGTTGAGACATCTCTTTATTTAGCTTCGAATTGGTTTTAAGCTCATCTACATATCATGTTAGAAATGTGTAACTCTCATGTCAATCCTCATCTATTTAGTTAGGCTTGTGCCGCTCTCTCTCTCTCTCTTTTAATTAATTTTCAGTTGAGTTTTCAGACAACAATATAGTTATATTTTACGGAAATTTTCCTATCTTTTATATATTTAAAGAGCTGCCTGACCCAGCGGTTTGACTATTCGCCAGCTGAACCAGATCTTTTTGGATAATCTGATGAATTTAGAAATTCCAACTTTTTTAGGGTTCTTTATATTCATAATATTTGATGAGCAAAATTGGTCCAATTCGTTCAATGCATTGGGGCAAGGGCTTCCTTATTTCCGCTAGGTGTGAATTCCTCGTCACCCTTCTGCTATGGATGTTAGCTCTTCTGCATCTATTTAGTTGGCTTCCCGTGGTTGTTTACTTGCGTATTGCTTTGAGGCAAACCTTGTTGGTGGCTGCTATTTGCGTGCTTGCCAAGCACCACACAATCCCTTCCTTCCTCATGCGTACAGGTATAGAATGTTGCATCATGGTTTACCGCTGTTTAGCTTTGGGGTCTTGTGGGAAATGCATGGGGCCACCTTGACGAGTGTCAGGAACACCAAAAACCATGTCTTAGTTTTTAGTTGTGGAGTGTGGACACAGAAACAGACTTTTGAAAAGTCGCAAGAAACAAGGGATCAAAACATCAAGAGTAAAAAAAATGAAATTTGTGGGAAAAAAGAAGCGTGACTCATTTGTCTCATATTTTGAGAGATTCTCCATTCTTCATTCATTTGTTTTCTATTTTATGTTGAATCCGGCAAAGATCCAAAACATAGATTTCAACGATCATATTCTCCTTCATCTGAATCGACTGTTCTCTCCCTACTTTTGGAGGTCTCACCCTTTTGCTGTCATTATTCCTTTTATGGAATTTGATATCTTCAGCAACTCGTACAGACTTACACATTGAAGATTACGGTGTATGCTTGTTGTTTGATTTCTTTCAAGATTACATTTATTTTTTATACATATATATGTATTTCAGTATATCTATAGATATCTATATACCTATCTGATGGCTTATTTCAACTGTTAGAGTTTTAAGTTTTCCATTTTGGAAGTTTGATCATTTTCTTCAATGTTTTCAATTTGCATAAATGACCTTTTGAACTAAAACATGAAATGGGTCTAATTTGACCTGATATTTGGCTCGATTCTATACTTGTTTTATTAGATTCGGATTTTTTTGAATCACATGGAATTGGTATGGATGTTGTGTATGAGAGCTGATTTGGATTTGGATCTGAATGTGGAATTTGATATTAGAATACTGATCTGGACCTGGATTTACATGAATTTGTTCTGCATGCGCTCCATTTCGTGCCCTTAATTTTTTTCTTTTTCTTTCTTTTTTGTTGGTGATGTCATCTGGACTTGGATTTTTACTCCTTATTCAATATGTCCTGTCCTGGCTTTGTAACTATCTTCTTAGGATTAAAATTTGTCCCTTTGTCCTTATAATTTCCTTCATTTGTGTTCCACATCCATATTTATGCTTCATAATTTGGATGATTGAGCTGCTAATATTACCCCACCGTATTAAAGTTAATTTAAGAGTTGATATAAGTTTTTATTATTTTCTACTTCCGCAGGCAATGAATGGCCAATATCTTTGCAACCGTCGGATAACAGTGTCCTATGCATACAAGAAAGACACCTAGGGGGAGCGCCATGGGACCCCCGCAGGTAATGCTCTCTTCTATGTCCTGTTACTGCACACATAGTATTAAGCCCATATTTGCTGCTGAAGGTTGAAGTTACCTCCTCCGAATTTGGAAGATGTTTCATATTGCACATTTCAATTTAATAGTTCTCTCATGTGATCCATGAACTACATATTCTGTTGTGCACACAATTGTGCAGCAAGTCATAAATGAGCAAATGTTTATTATAATGAAGTGTGGGGGTCTGTCTTTCTCAAGTGTGGTTAGATTTTAAGAGGTGAAAACTGTGTGATAGGTCAGTGTCCCATCAGTTGTAGTTGTAGGTATGCATGTTCATATGTATGGTGGAAGTATGTACTTGTCATGTGTGCAATTAAGATTTATGCCATTTTAGACACTAGTTTGCTACTGATGAAATGCAGAGAGAGTTTTGGCTGCCAACAATCCGATTGCCCAAAGGAGCAGGCCGCACACGTTGTTTGCAAGTGGACCTCCTATACTTCCTCAGGCCAATGGTAATGTGGGCGTTCCAATCCCTCCACGTCCAGGAGTGATTCCAGCACTCCGTCCTCCGCCACCACAAAGTGTTGCCTTCCCACCAATGGGAATATCTGGGCCACCATCTTGGCAAGGTCAGCCACAGCAACCAGGTCACACTCTCCCACCACCTGCCATGCCACCACCGCTTCAGCAATTCAGGCCGCCATCACCAAACATGCCACCACCTCCTCCTCAAATATCTCGTCTTCTTACAAGGCCTCCCATGCCACCAACTGGGATGGGTACCACCACCTCCTCAGCAGTTAATGCCACATATGTCAATGCAGCCACCTCCCCCACCACCACCTCCTGTGTCAACTTGAAGGCTAGGGAAGCTGTTCCGGAAGTAGTCGAATTTGTAAGGAAGTCCGGGTGTTTCTCCTCTCATTTATTGTGGTAAGGGTTTTGTTAATTAGGACTATACAGATTGTAGATGTACATTACAGCACCATTTGATTTTTCATTGCCATCTAAGAACTATTGCAGATAGAGTTGTAATGTCTGAAATTGCAAATTTTCTGTCAGATTGAGCTTTTGTTATTGATGGAAATTGTAGTATTATTGGATTGGGAAATTTCCGACTTTGCACGTCTGTCATGTTTTAGAAAAGTCACTCAGGATTGATGAAATCCTTAATAATCCGTCATTAGTTGGCTGAGCTGACTCATGAAAATGTGCTCTCCTTTTGGGAGGCTTTATATGCTCGAGTTCTTGACTTGGAAATGACAGTGGGATTGCATGAAGATGTTGATGATGATGAACATTGTGTTCTTTGTCATGATGATGATGAACATTGTGTTCTTTGTCATTTCAATAATGTTATGTTTGGGAGTACTGAATTGGAGCTTTGAAGTTGGAAGAAATTTAGCATTTCTGGCTGTTTGTAATTTCCATGATAGTGTTATAGACTACTAAGCTTTGACTTAGAATGTCCATTAGATAAAATTTTAATGGACAAGGTCAACCTAACACTAAAAAAAATAAGAACCTAAGATCACATGAAACATTACAAGTGAACCATTGATAAAGAAATGTGAAGCACGTGCACAGTTGCATGAGGAATGTCAAATTTATTATTGATTCCCTGAAGTTTATCATCCTATTATGTTTTAAAATCGCATTATTATATATATAATCACGGTAACAATATTAGTTTTGACCAGTTGGAAAAGAAATGGATTGAAAAACCACTGGTGAATTTGACTTCGAACTACTTCCTTACGAACAGAAGCCGGCAGAAATATAGCGCAAAAATATTTGAACTTTGCTCAAGATAAAAAAAAAAAAAAATTGAACATCTAATTAGTTGTTATACAGCAAAAATGTCAGTATCAATGTTGTATTTTAACAATTTTGGTCACCCCAGCCAATACCATATATATATATATATATAGCATCTATTGATCACCTGCAATTTTTAAGTCTTTTTAGCCTCTCTCTCTCTATATATATATAAACATTAATGTTTGGGAGTCCACTCCAGCCCTTGCTTATAATTTAGCTAAAATCGTGCCCACACAACTGCTACAACAAAGGGGAGCCTTTGGGCAAAGTGACCTTCCACACCCTCTCATTTCCTTTCTCTGCCTCACACCTCAAGACCTTTGAGGAGAGAGAGAAAGAGAGAAATGTCTTAGGGTGTGCCCTTCTCTCTCTCTCCTCTCTCTCTCTCATTTATTCATACATACAATTAAACCCGCACAATTACATGCATGAGGACACTTTGTCCCAATTTTGACAGAGAAGATGGCCTCGAAACTGTCCTTGAGGTCCCTATACCAGAAGAAATGTTCGCAAGCTTGGGCAGCAGTGTGGCCTTGCGTTGGGCGAACATGTCCACTTGGATGAAGGCTCAAACCTCCGATAAATGGTCATCCCCGGTCATCGCCGGCCGTTACAATGAGCTCAGTTTTCTCCTCTTCGTTGTCGGATCACCTCTCATACCTCTTCAGGTCCAAGTCGACCAGTCCATAAACCGCCCTATAAAACATTCTTCCATTGTAAGAACCTTTCACTTCTATATACAATATCCATAATCATCATTCTAGTCTATTGCACGAGACTCCCGGCGGGTGTCAGAATAATTTTTCATAGATGGAACTAAAAATAATCAATATATTCATAATCATTTTGCGCACAGCATGAGGCTCCTGGATCTTTGGAGGGTCATAAAAACTTTTTTATAGATAGAACTAAAATATTTGATTAGTGCTAATAAATTCCCTTATATATATATATATATTTATATGATGTTGCATGTGTTCATTTGATCCTCTCTCTCCGAATTCTGTAATGACAGAAGTCTCTGGTCTAATCCTTTTAATGTTGTTAATTTTTGCAGGAAGCATCGACGGCTAAATATATTGTGCAGCAATATATAGCAGCATCGGGAGGGCAGGCGGTGTTGAGCTCGGTGCATAGCATGTGTGCAATAGGGCAGGTGAAGATTAGTGCATCATATTTTCATCAAGGGAATGAAAGTGTGAAGGTTAAGAGTAGTCATGATGAGGAGGCTGGAGGGTTTGTTTTGTGGCAAAAGAATCCAGACCTCTGGTATCTTGAGCTGCTTGTTTCTGGTTGCAAAGTCATCTCAGGAAGCAATGGCAAGATTTCCTGGAGGCAATCCTCTAACCAACAAACACCTATCTCTAAGGGCCCACCCAGACCATTGCGCCGATTCTTGCAGGTACATATGTGTGTGTGTATATATACAATATTTATGTATGCCATAGTATTACTTTGACAACTGATGTGACAATCTTTACATGCACTCTAAAAGGAGAGAGACTCTATCTTATCGATTGACATGTACATGTGAAAGGCAATGTGGTTGTAATTTGTGTGAACGTAGCTTTCCAAATTCACACACTAATTGGTGCATTGTGACAGGGTTTGGACCCTAGGTCAACAGCCAACTTGTTTGCAGACGCATTATGCATAGGAGAGAAGGTGATAAACAATGAGGACTGTTTCATACTGAAGCTCGACACAAGCCAATCAACTCTGGAGGCACAAAGTGGCCCCAAGTATGAAATCATCCACCACACCATATGGGGCTACTTCAGCCAAAGGTCTGGCCTCCTGGTCAAGTTCGAGGACTCGAGGCTGCTCACCGTGAAGACCAATAATGGAAAGAACGACGACGAAGGAGTGTTCTGGGAGACGAGCACGGAGTCAGTGATCGAGGACTATAGGTACGTGGACGGTGTCAATGTTGCACATAGTGGCAAGACATTTGTTACGGTGTTCAGATATGGGGAGGAATCAGCTAACCACAAGAGGGAGCTGCAAGAGAAGTGGAGGATTGAAGAGGTGGATTTCAACATTTGGGGTTTGTCAAAAGATTTCTTTCTGCCTCCTTCAGACGTAAGAGACCAAAGAGTTAATCTGTTTGTTTGACAAGAAATGTAAATATATACAAGCAAATTGAAGAGCTAGCATGAATTGTTTGTTTTTAAGGATACTTTAAAAAAAATTAATCTTAAACAACATTTTTGAGCAGTGTAACTCTATTTTCCATTGTGCTTTGGAATGAATTTAATGAGAGGATTTGTCATGTACTACTATTTGATTTGGGTTCATCTTCAAAACTACTATGCTACATAGACTCGGCACGAGATGTATATTTATTTAATTTTAATATTATTTATTTATTTTATTTTAGGCAAAAAAATTCTCACAATCACTGTATCTTTTATGGGACTTGAACCTTGACGGGCTTAGATTACTGTACTTGGTGATTATCCTTATTATTATATCTTATAAAATATTAAAAATGTATTTTACCATATCATTTGATAATTCAAAACAATTATTAAAGAATTCTGTCAATAATTTATTTTTAATGTGGATTAGTTACTCTCCATCCTGCCTAAGACAAACCCAACAGTTTTACCTCTTTTCTCTTTCTTTAATGATGATTTATTATGGGAGGTCATATTCGGACTCTACATTTATTTATTTTTAAGAAAATAACAAAAAATTATTAAATTCATTAATGCATCATTCCTTAATTTATAATGTCATAATTTATACAATTTTAACATTTTTTTAACCTTCTTTACTTTCTTTATTAGTTTTTTTTCCTTTTTATTTGCTTTTGAGAGGTCCTCTAAAAAAAAACAACTTATTTTATATTAATATTCTTAGCTGTCAAAAGAGAAAATTTATTCAATAATGCCCCCTTTTTTTTTTTTTTTTTTTAGGTACAAAGTTATTTTTTTTTTTTGTCATGTCCAAAAAGGTAACTTTATTTGTTTCTGTAATTTTTGTATGTATCATGTCAAAAGAAATGATTTATTATATATCTATATATATATATATATACACTCCTATATATTTATTCATTACGGTGTCCCGCAGAACAGAGAAGTCTCTCTCTCCCTTCCTGGTAAAAGCAAATCTCTCCCTCTTTTTCTTTTCGGCTCTGCATCCAATAGTTGCAGAGAGTGAAAGAGAGTTTAAATTCAACTATCAAAGAATCTCAGCTCTCCCTTTCTCTCTCTAAAATACCGAAATGAAGGATGACGATGACCTACCTATATCGACATCAACAACGACAGCAACACATACAAAGAAAGAAACCTTCTCCTCCTTCGATTGGATCCCATTCGGTAGAGGGCGATACAAGTTCTGGGCATTTGCCGCCATTTCGCTCCTCGCCTTCTGGTCCATTCTCACCGCCACCGCCACCCTCCGCTGGTACGTCGGCAACCTCAACCCTACCGACGGCCTCACCACCACCCCCTTCCACCACGATCTCGACGTTCTCGTTCGTCTCGGTACCCTATATATACATATGTGGATTAATCATGTTGTGATTGTGATTGATTGGTTGAAATTTTTGGTGAAACAGGAAATGGAGGAGAGAGAGAAGGTGGTGAAACACATGTGGGATGTGTACACCAACAGCCGTCGGATCAGCTTACCGCGGTTCTGGCAGGAGGCTTTCGAGGCTGCTTACGAGGACTTGACCAGCGACGTCCCTACTGTTCGAGAGGCTGCAATTTCTGAGATCACTAAGATGTCTATTCGCTCTGTTGATCTCGAACTGCTTCCTCTTCAATTACCGGTTCGTATCCCATTCCTTGACTTCGTTCAGTCTAACTCTGTGCTCAGATCAATATATGAGTTAGGGTTATTTTGGAACTTCCTTATGCATTGCACAGTTCTCGTTTGTTAATTTGCGTCCACAGTAAGTGTTGATTTTCAGTGGGCTGAAATGCAGTTTATAGGTATAAAATGTTGAATGAACAAATTCTGAACCCTTTTATGTTATGGGAATGAATTATATGCAATAATGAACTGATATTTGTCAAAAAGAGACTTTGGTAGATTGATTGCAATCCATCTGTAGCTCTATTTGATGTTAATCTACTCTCTGAATTGGACTTGGTCTGAAGTCCAGGCATTCAAATGCTTTTTTGTTTTTGTTTTTTAGATTACTTTTTTTGTATTTTTAATTTGAATTTTCGTCTTTGTTAGATATTCTCCATAAACATAATAAAAGGTTTTTGATAGTGTTCAATCAAGGCTGCCTACAAACAAATAATGGGTGGACTACGCCAGGGCTGTTATTTTAGGGTTTTTAATGGAAAAGGTAATATAGAGGTTTAAGGATATTCTAATGGTCAGATTGGTTGAACTAACTTAGTGCCCATTTGGAGTTGCTTCGTCTTTTGCAAAAATAATTTCTGGGGATGGATTTTTAAAGAACTAATTTCACTTATAATGAGTCTGGTGCTTGGATGTTGTGCTTCATGCTCTGTTCCAATAGTGTTGTGGCCCTTGTGGGCTATCAGAAGTGACAGTTTATTTTATTGTTTACATATAAAAGTAAATTTAAATGTTATCCTTTGTGATAAGTGTGTGTGATTATGTATCTGTTTGTAAATAGTAACTATGTGAAAATAAATGGGCCAATTTTACACAATCCTTCAACCTTATGATAAGTAAAACATTAAACTTCAAATACAGGCTAAAATTTTCGATGTTCTTGGTACTTTGAGTATGCAATAACTCATCCACAAGAACTTAGGGGCTTTGAAGATGGAGATGCAATAATAAATTCTAAAAAATTCATTTTCAATCTTTATGTATGGTATTCCAACCTAAAACAATGTGGTAAAAATTTGAAAGAATACAATGTTCAATTCAACTCAACAACCCAACTACTTGGTGTCGGCTAATAGAAGCCCTAAGCATAGTGCTCATAAAAGCACAATATTCAAGAAAAGTAGAAATATTGCAATATATTCCTACTTATCAAAAACAAATCTGCTATTCCCGCTTACAATATGGACTCATTTCATACATTATGATATACACATAACCTTAAACCAATTAGTGAAACCTGTTATTAACAAAACTACAAATAAAAAAAAGGGCTAAACCCAGTGCATGAATAAGTGAAAGATGAAACTCGACATCTATTATATGCATAGTTATATTATGCGTACTAGCGGTCCTTTTGTATTTTATATTTTTCCCTGTGATGACTATCTGTATGCCCATTTTTTTATTCTGTTTTAATTTAAGAAAAGGTTGGATGCTTCGTTGCATGTCTATCCATGTTTACCAGTGTCAAACACGGCTCCTATATACGACTGAAGACTTCTATTAAAAGCATTCAAGAAGTGTTGACCATTTTGTTTCAATTATAAAATTTCTTTTTAAATTATAGACACGTCCAAGAAGTGTTGGACACGAATTTAGATGTGTCCTAGAAGGATGAGAGTTGTGTACATGTCTGCAAATACAGACATTATTATTTTTTAAACTTAGAGAAAAACAACAAATCGAATGGGCATTAGTTCATGCATGTTACAATTTTTAAAATGCAAAGAGCCATTGAACAAGCAGCTCTATGAGGTTTAAATCTCTTTGAGTATTTCTCGAACAAGAGTAGAATCTGATAGCCAGCATTCGTGAATTGGGCTATGTTGTCTGTTGCACCAACAGATCTGGTTTCTAGGTTTTTATGACCAATATGATTTTTATCTTTTAAATTCATGGTAATGCTAGGACAAAAGATGAAACCATGTTTTCAACCTTCTGACATTTATACCTTTTGGTCAATTCGAGCATGAAGCTTAATTTGCATCTCAAACCATAGTCTTTTAGTGGTTCCAACCCTGTTGTCAGCCATGTGGTTTTGCCAGCAAAAAACTAGGCCGCAGTTGTGGACTTTTTGTGGAGGTTGGTTTGTCTTGCCCTCTCATTCATTTTCGAATCCAGGGTGGGACAGGTTCTTGATGGATATCATCCCCAACCTGAATCTGAATCAGGTTTTAGATATTCTTTCCCATACATTCTCCTACCCTGTTCATCAACTCCCCCTAACTGTGCCAATAGAGACAGCATGGAAGGGTCCCCCATTTCATGGAGCCAATTGCGATCCCTAGTTCTAGGTTACCAAATGGCCCTTGGATCTGCATTTAAGTGCCCCAAATGGAACCCCACATACCCTTTAGTTGTATTGGTTATAGTCAAATTTTAGTTATTTGTTTAATTTGAAACCCTCAAAAACATTAAATGATTATGAATATTGTCTTCCACTATCAAAAATTCCACTTGCGAGTTGCAGCATAACAACTCTACCATTAGCATGATTTTTTATTCTTTTTTTTTTTTCAAACAGAATTATTTGAAAGTGCTTCTTTCCCCATAACTTCTTTACCCGCGTGAAAAGAGCATGGTAACTGTTGTTGTGTAGCCACCTTTGTTGCCTTCCCCATTTTGTGGCAATGAAGTGAAGCATTCTTAGTTTTCAGAACAAATTTCCATTTTCTGAATTAAAAAAGCTAAAATTGACCTTTTAGAATTTGATTTGTACCATTGCCACTGTCCTTAGTCCTTCCAGTTTTATCATTAAAAATTGTGTGACCATTGTTCTTGTCTTTTATGGGTTTGAGATGTAATTAAGATAATTGAGAAAAAAAATTCATGATATGATGAGAGTCCTGGGTGGACTGGGTTGGGTGGAAATCAAGGCAGCTCATATGAGAGAAAAAGATTAGCAGTCTCGAGATTGCCACTGACTCCTGAAGGTAAAGGCACTATTGGGGGGATGAAGGATAGTTTCAGGGTTTCTTAAGGTCTTCTTTAATACCTTAGATTTAGTTGGTTTTCGTCTCTCTATCTTAAATGAATGTGGAAAGCCTATTATTCTTTTGGAGTTGCAGGCAAGGCCACATCCACGCTGTCATGGGAAGCAGGTTTTGTTGCTACATGTTTCCCCAAATGAGACATTGCCATGTTTGAGTTGCAAAGCTAATGATCACGTTAGTGCGGTGGGTATTTATTGCAGGATGGTCATTACTTTTATGTGTTAAAGTGTTAGCCTTACAAGGTAAGGTAGGTGATTAGGGCGGTATGCCAGATAATTATTGCAGCATGGAGGTCATTTAGTGCAATATGATGGTTTTGACATGCCCCCTTCAGAGGTTTGTTCGATATTAAGTAAAGTGTTGCCACAGCATAATGGATGGTCGACTTTAGCCATCAAGCCGAATATCTCCTAGGATCTTGTAGAACTGCCCTTCTTGATCTCCACTGTGGATCACAATTCATAAAGATTTGCAATGCAGTTTGGATGAGCCTACTGAGTCTTTGCTTTACCTCTAGCCGTGCATGAGATGTATTAGGGGTTGTTTCCAAGTTCTACACGAGGCATATCAATAATGAGGAGGTACTCATGATCACTTATCGACAAAGAGGAGATCCTGGTGGTTGCCTGTGGAGAAGGCAACAAGGCTTGTCTGAGAAGAAGAGGTCTTTGTGGTAAGGCTTATTTGATGAAAAGAGGTCCTTGCCACCTTGGTAGTGAATTTTGTTTGAGAAGAAGAGGCTTCCACAATATAAATGCGCAAGGCTTCGAGGTGTGGATGACTTAAAGATGGTTTTTCACCTGAAGTACATTGTAAGACTGTAAGAATGGTTTTGTTCTTCGGGTAAATGACCTCAAAGTTATTGTCTTGAAATGCTTGGGCCCAGGTAACTGTAAGGAGAACTTCTGCAGACATTCATATATATCAGCAGTGGTGAAGTATATACATATAAGATTAACATGGTGGTCTAGGTTAGGAGATGCTAAGATGGCCTTTACAATACCTTTACCTCAGCTAACTGCCTACATATGTGCAACAGCTTGAAGGATAATGGCAGTGCACTATACGATTTACCATTGGTTCCATGTGTCAAGGTAGGATTCTTTATTTGGGTGCCACATCTTGTATGGAGGTCATGAACCCACACCTTTCATGAACTCAGGCTTTGATCTACATTTTATTATACGTGTTTTTTTTTCCTTAGTATTTTATATAGGTTTTCGTGAAAAAAATAACATTTGTTGTTACTATTTTTCTAGTGATAAAATGGTGGGTTGGGATTGGGATTGGGATAGGGATAGGGATAGATCTTAGGTTTTAACCTTTTCTTTCCAAAAAAATTTATGCCCCATGTTAGGATTTGTCTTGGTGGTTACATCTTGCCGCCCTTGTTGTTTCTGTTTTGATTTCTTTCCCCTTCTTTTAAATTCTTATGAATAATGTAATACATGAGATGTTTCTCACGGTGTCTGGTTAAATAGTTTGGATTCTTCATTTTGAGATGTATTTAAGATGATTATAATGAAATTCCATGCACTGGCAAGTTGTGTTCATGTTAGCTCTTGTATATCAATTGGTTGATCTATCTAAGGCCATCTATACTGAGGGATTGCAAAATTATTACCCTAGGATATATTTTTGTAATAGATCCTGGCAATTAGATTACACAAGTAATTTAGTTGATATGTATCTGTCCACTTTATCAACTAAATCATCAATGTCCCAGCTCCCTGATTTTGCTTCAAGAATCAAAGCAGTGCATTTATGGGAACATTGACAAAATAATTGTGTACAGGGTCTGGCATTGAGGAGAAGCTTATGTGATTGATTTGCTCATTCAGAAACAATAAATCAAACGTAATCAATATTGCTTGCATCTACATACTTGTTCTTTGGTGATTGAGACAAAGGCTTCCTTTGAGGCATGATAGGCTCTTGAGAAGAAGTAACGCATGCCAAGGATAGGTTATAAACTTATAATATCCCAAAAGTGTGTTTGCCTATCACTTTTTACAGCAATCCACACGTGTGCCCTCAAAAGGGACAAGATCGAACTAAAATTAGCTTAGGGGATTGTGCTCTCCTTGGTTTTCTGTTGACTCGGCACCATCGGAGAACTCTCTCTCTCTTATATATATCTATATTCATCTTTTATCTCTCTCACACACATGTACATAGCCTTCCTTCCCTATTCTTGAACCACAAGGGATCTCGTCTTTCAATTTTTATTTTTTGCAGTCTTGGCATTTTCCTTGTACTCCCCGTCTCCTGTAGCTTCCTCTTCCTTCTCCTCCTCCTCCCCTCTCTCTCTCTCTATGTGTGTGTGCGCAGTCGCATTCATACTCCAATTACGCACTTGTTTTATGACATGTGAAACATACACTTTTCCAGCAAATGTAGGAAACTCTGTTCACTCACGTTTGTCATAATTAAGAGTTCCAATATGCACAAACAAAAAATTTTGTAATTAGATAAGCACATAAATTGTTTTTATTTCTTTCTTAATAAATTTTAAGCTGTCTTCAAAGACTAATACAGTATCAATAAGAAGAGAAAATAATTGGTTCTCAATATTTAAATAATTAAATTAGAATATAAGGTTTTGAGTAAGAACCTGGTGCTATGAAATATTGTCCTGTAAGTTGCGAATGGCTTGCAATTTTGGTAACTATATGGCTCCTTACTCCTTAGTCGCAATATTCTAGTTGTTAAGTTCTTTTAAATATGAATAGAACTGATAATAGTAGTCAAATGAATAAGAACGTTTGTTTTGAGGTAAATTACTCATGTTCCATTCTTGTGGTTAATATGTTTTGAACTGAATCCTACAGGATCCTAACAGACTAAAATTGCTTTTGGTGCCTGTTGTCAGGGTGTACGAGAATTTAGACTGCAGCAAGCAGAGATAGGAGGCCAGGAGGTGGTGACTTCTAGAGGGAGTAGGCAATGATTTGAATGATCAGGATCCAAGCCTGCAAGTTTCTGTTCTTTTATACTTTCTTCATTCCACTATATTGCTTATTTGCTGCCCAGAGTTAGTGAAAGGTAGTGTTGAAAATTTATACTCTTTTCCTTATGTCTTCATAACAGGGATAAACAATGTATTTATTTAGGTTCTCATTCTTCCAGTTTTTTTTGTCACAAAAAATTGAGACGCTGATGGTATAGTGAAACATCCTTTTGCGTAAATGACAAGTGAAAGAAATTTTTATGAGATTTTGTTCATGAAGAACTGGAGAATCTTGTGTCTGGAACTTCCTACTGTACATTGGCTTAACGCACAAGGATATCACTTAATTATCATCATTTTAATTATGAGCATCATCATTATTATTGTTTTAGAAAAGCACTTCTTTTTTTCTCTCTTTTCTATCTGCAATGATTTTATTGTTTTACTACCATGGCTCTCTTAGGTGGTATTGATATGTATAAAGAGTCGACCTATAGGTGCACCAGTAAGACGATAGAGGCTTGTTTATCTAAATGGGATGAAATTACAACCCATCTCTCGTACATCTTTATCAGCTCTCGACATCGACTGTTAATGAGTAGTACATCTTTATCTATTCTTGAAAATGCCATCTTTCAGCAAGTAGTGATGTCAATAAGGTGAGGTTGTCTAAAATTTCAGGGGCTAAATCATGTTTACCATTGAGAGATGTAAAACTACTAACCAGTGTCAGGTTAGAAAATTTCGGTTTTATTTTGTCTGTACGGTTTCCATGTACTACTTCTGTAAAGCAGGGTGATGCTTGTGTGTGTAAACTTACACAAGTATGAAGTTGTTGTAGCACATACCAACATGACAATCTGATTATGTTAGCATGTTTCCAGTTTGCTTATTTTCTGTAACAGTTTGTTGCAATGACGGACTTTGATCAGAAATTCAAGGGGGATTGCCATTGCAGATTGGTGTTTTTAGTACTTTTCATGAATATGGAAGCAATGGCGCGGCCAATACATGGCAGGCTCAGTAAAATGGCCCAACTCAATTTGGTATGTTCATGGAGAATTGAAGCCCTAAACGTGCATCTAAAGAAGGGATGTCCATGCTTTCTTTCTTCCCTAAGCATAGGAAAATATAATTTTTACCATTCAAAAGCATAACTTGTTAACTTGAAATGAATAAAATAGTTGCAGAAATTTTTTACTATCCATACTTTCTTTCTTCCCTAAGGCTCTGCTTGGTTTGTAAATATGGAAACAGTTTTTTATTTCCAGAAAACTGAAAACAAAAAACAGTACAAAAAACTCTGTTTGGTTCAATTTTCAGAAAAATGTTTTCTAAAAACTTAGTTATAAAAATGTGGACATGCTTAGTTTGTAATTTTAAAAACATTTTTAAGAATTAAAATAATAGAAAATAGTTTTCAGAGAACAATAAAAGAAAAATTTCTAAAAACACTCATTTTCATAAAACAATTTTCAGAAAATTGAACCAAGCAGAATTTTTTGTATAATTTTTTGTTTTCAGTTTTTTAAAAACAAAAAATTGTTCCGAGAGTTACAAACTAAGCATGCCTATTTATTTTCAAAGAACTATAAATATTATTCTCTGAGAAGTTTTTTACTTTTTAAATTTTTAAAAATTATTTTCAAAATTACAAATCAAACAAACCTTACATTTTGAAACTTCCGTACTATCCACCGAGAAGAAGACTCGGAACCATCCAAACAATGCAGTGGCATTGGCTACATAAAGGTAGGGTCGGGGCTTTCTAGGAGGACCATTTTTGCAATACATTAAAGCGCGTGATTAATGGTTGATTGGTTGCCAAGAAACCCTATTGGTCCACCTTCCTGGGATAAAAGAAAAGAAAAGAAAAAAGGCGGCCTATTGGTCAAGCCGTTCTCACCAATTTTCTATCATGTAGCTTGTTTTTAGCATGATGGATGACCGATTGTGAATGATATAGTCATGGTTTTTATCTTTTCTTGAGGGATGTCAGTATTAACTAATATATATATATATATCACATTGATATTTTTTTAAGTTTGATAGAGTACGTAATTTGCATTGATAATTGATATTAATTTTGTCCAATTTCGTTATGTCGCATTTGGGAACCATACATCCACACTATTTATTTTTCTGAATTTTAATTTTTTTTTTGTTTTAATTTTTATTTTTTAAGACAAAGAAATGCTAGTTTGGTACACACCGTGTGACGCTGTGGTGTATGATTTTTTTTCTACACGAATTTTAAAATAATTTTTATTATATAATTTCTGTAGATTAAATTAATTTATACCATATTGTGAATCTTTCTGTGCAGATGGAATATAAAAATTCAAAAATTAGACTTCGATTTGGCTTAACAGTGAATTTTATCAAAAGAATATGGTATACAAAATAGTAGTAGTCCAAGTCTAAGGTGCCTTGAATTTTCCCTAATCTCCAATATCATCTGTCTTTATATTGTCTTTAATGTTCATACTATTTATATTGGAAGAAAACATTAAGCAAAATATTCTAAACAAAAATTGAAAATTAAATTTTAGTGAGAGATCAAGTAAAATTTATTGAAATTTACAACGATCTTAAAGTTATAAAAATATTAATAATGGTTATCAAATCTAAAAGTAAATTATAAATCAGGACCATTTTAGATTCATTTCCTTATAAGCTTTCCTTTCAGGTACAAACATGAAAAATAACGAAAAAAAAAATACCAATTTAATCAACCATCTAAAACTCAAATTAGTATGTGTACTGTACAATAATAATAATCGAATTGATGTTCAATAATTCATGGCAGAGCCCATGGTTGACACTTGACACCATACTTTTAGAATAATTTTGCAATCCAACACAATGTAGCGACCCACGACTTGACCCATGAACCAAATAGTTTTTATTTTATTTTTTTAATTTTCGGCCTCTCCTGCTTAATCTAGAATTTAACCTATACAATATTTTAATCGTTGTACTTTTATCAGCTCAAAAAATTCATTAAAAAGAACATTTTTGTATGAATTTTTTGAATCAGACAACACAAATTATGAATTCATCTTATCCAAAGATTCTATCTTTACTCTTATATTTGGCCTCCTCAACAATTTCATTAATTAGCATTAGATATTTGTTAATTTGTTTCATAAAGTTTTATATTATTTTTAATTAATTCATAATATATTTTAAATTGCATTAAATCCATACTTCTAATTCTAAAACAACACTCCAAGAATGTGTATCTATCATGTTCAAACAAAATAAAAAATATTCAAATTTTAAAATAGGGTTCAAATCACAAAACCCTCGGTAGAATTAAAAATTTTGGATCCGTGAATTTGGTTGTGAAATAACAAATTTTACCTTACTTTTTAGGTTCTGTTTGTTTGGGTGTAAAATATTTTTTAAAAAATATTTTATTTTTATTTTTTAGTGTTTAGTTGTCGTAAAATATTGACGAAGAAAAATAATATTAAAATCTAACAAACATAACTTACCGATCAATTTTCAACAATTTATTTTACATATCCCGATGGACTTGACCTAAACCTCAGTCGAACACTAAATAAGTAAAAATAAAAAAAATATTTTTCTTGAAAAAGAAAAATCTTTTCCAAAGAAAATATTTTACGTCGAAACAAACGCAACCTTAATGTTAAATTAATGTGCTGATAATAATTTATTAAATTTATTTTTGTAAATTTAAAATAACAATGTCAATTTTGTAATTTAATAAAATAATATTTTGGGTTAAGTGCAAAAAAATTTCCTAATGTATAAATTTTGTGCAGTATTAATTCTTACTTTTAAAAAATGTGCACATTAGTCCATAAGATTCAAAAAAGATACAAATAAACCCCTCTTACCACTTTTTGATAAAAACTAAATAAGAAAATCCTATTTTACCCCTCACCCATATCTACATATAACCCATACCCATTTCCCTGCCCCCATGAAATAGAAATAGAAATTGATAACAATATCATAATCTACAAGCAAAATAGACCATTATTTGGTTTAGTAATAAAAAAAGTTCAGGCTTATTTAACCAAAATAAATAAATGTTCACACTGACAAACATGAATACAGAGAATTCAATTTGAAATAAAATAAAATAAGATAAAAGAAATGGACCAAAAAGCTAAGATGAACAAAGCAAAATATTTCATATAAAATTTCTAATTTCACGAAACTAAAACATGACTTACAGTTTCTAATTTCTAGGAAATCATTTTCTTGACAGACAATCGTTAACTTAAGAAAAATCTCTCAATTCTTGGCCCCATGCGCTCCATATCCCCTCAGAATTTGGGTAAAGTCCACCTGTCGTCGGAGGAGCAAGAACTCAGGCAGAGAAAAATCAAAGAGATGAGGAGCTCAAGGCAAATAAAATCAGATTAATTGACAAAGTTCTAACAACATGTTTCTGCTTCTAACTCTCACCAATAACCAAGTTTCAAATTGTAAAATCTGTGTTATTTATATATTTATATGTTATTCCTACATGAACCAAGTTTACAAATTTTAATACATGAGTTTGGCCACAGATAAAGGATTTGATATATATATATATATATATATATTGCAAATGTTAATTCCATGACTTAAAAAATCAATATTTTCAGTGATTATGGAGTGTCAGATTGATGAGAAATTATTACAGTTAATCATTAATTGATATGTAAATATATATGTCAATTTTGTGTTGTTTTTCTTAATTTTTTGTTTGAATGTTAATTACTACGTAATAATTATTCGGACTATTATACAATTAATTTCTCCAAATCGTGTAACATGTACTCTGTTTTAGTGACGCCCTACCAGGACATAGCAATTTGCAATGCCAATGAAATTATTACAGAAACACCAAGTCAACAGGCGTGGATCAAAGTCCATGAAGCATTATTACTCTTTCTTTTTTACTTTTCATAATAATAATACACACAAATTGAATAAAAAAATTATTTTACCTACCTATATTTATAATTATTAATTTATTTAACTAAGTGAGGGTATCATCGTTATTTTATATCACACCGGAACTTATTTGCACCAAATTAATAATATAGGAAAATTTTATATCACACAAGAACCTTTTTGTATTATATCAATAGTAGAAAGAGTTTTTTGCACTTAACCTTAATATTTTTTTTAGTATTTTAATTTAACATGTCTCAAAGGAAGCCTTTGTAATTTCATAACTAAGTTAACGACAATTGATGTGGGGGCAACTTGATAACTATTTTTAGTTCATAATTTTTTCTTTTTTTTTTTAAATTACGTATTATTTTAAAAGTATAAAGAAATTTTGTAATTTTAACCCTTTAAAATATTTCCAGTATGTCCAACGTAACCTACACACAAAAGAAATGTGTTTTTGTAGCTTTTTACTTCAGTAAAGTTATTATTATTTTTTTTTATAAAACAACAAAGCATTCCATCATTTTGTGATTTTACCGTCCCAAAAAATATTGTTTTCTAGCTTTGGTCACTAATTTCTAATTTTTTCATAAAAAAAATTAACAAATAATGAAGTTATTGTTAAGTCGCTTTTACTTTGACAATTTAATTTTTATGTTAAAAAGAAAAAATTATTTTCATTTTACCGCATTTTTCTCAAAATAAACCAAAAAACTAAAAACGTTACCACTATTTTCTTTTTACATTTTCGTACCAAAAAACTAAAAACGTTACCACTATTTCCTTTTTACATTTTCCTTATTTGTTATGCGAACTAAATGAAATAAATATTAACTTTATTATTTATTTATTTTTCCCGCACACCACTCACTCTATTATTTATTTTACTTACAAAAAAAAAATTATTCTTTATTTTGTTTTTCTTCTTTCCCATCAATTTTATTTTTATTTTTATTTATTTTTCATTGGTTCCGTGACTTGTGCATTAAAATGACTAAAAGCTACATTGTCAAGGGTACACGCGCACCGTAATGTTATTGTACTCAACCATCTCTCAAGGATAAGTGGCATATCGTAATATCATGATATTCCAGAGTCATATCTTTAACACACCCGATATTTACCCCTAAATGACGTGTTGGATTTGACCACCGTGAGACGCTCTCTCACATACCACATCCTTCTCAAAAAACAAACACACCACAACACAATCTTGACCGTCCATTCTTGCCATGTCATCGATCCATGTCTTCATAATCCAACGGTCACCAAACGAAACACAAAAAACCCCTCTTATCTCATCCCAAACCCTACGGTTAGGTTAACCCCAAACCCCAGTCACAAATCTGACTCGGGCTCGACTCGTTCGCCTAGAGAGCGACTCTAATATCTAGAGAGAGAAATAAAAAACGGAGAGAGAAAGAAGGGAGAGCGAAAAGTCTAGAGAGAGAGAGAGAAGAGAGAGAGAGGATTTTAGGTTTTCTGGATTCTCTCCTTTAGAGCACTTCGGACTTGTAGAAGAAACCAGGAAATTAGGGTTTTTAAGCCTTTTCTTTCTGAGGGTTTGCTATATCGATCTCTGAATTTAGGGTTAGAGTTAGGGTTTGGTTTATGATTTTTATTTGATATGCGTATGAGACGAGGTATAATTTTCTTCATTTCTAGGTCTTCATAACTTTGTTCGTCTGTTCTTTACTCGTTTCTTTCTATTTGCGGTCTGATTCGTTGCTTTTGTATAGAAAATATTATCCTGTATGAGATTGAAGTTTCGTGATTGATGGACGAGATCTGGGAGAGAGCTGTGGAGACAGCGCTTGACGGCCAAAACGATATCGCATCGGTTCGAACACTAACCCTAGACGGAGCAGTGAAGTGCGCTCACGGCCGTCTTCCTCCTCCTTCGCTCTTCGAGAAATTTCAGAACCTCCAACACCTCTCAATCGCCAACATCGGTTTATCGTCTCTCGAGCAGTTCCCTCGTCTCCAGAACCTCCAAAAGCTCATTTTATCCGACAATCGTATCGCTGGGGGTCTCAATCTCCTTGTCGAAGCCGGTCTCGAGTCGCTGCGTGACCTAGATTTGTCAAACAATCGGATTCAGGATATAGATGATCTGAGTCCGCTAGCAGAGCTTAGAATCGTGTCTCTGGATCTCTACGAGTGTCCGGTCACGCGCGTGAAGGACTATCGATCTAGGGTCTTTGGATTGATAAAGTCGCTGAAGTACTTGGACAAGATGGATGATGAGGAAAACGAGAGATTTGAGTCTGATGATGAGGACGATGATGAAGATGACGATGAGGATGACCCCGGGAGCGGTGAGATTGATGGAGATGATCATCGGCCGTATAGGATGAGTAATGGTCATAGCACTGGAGGTGAGGGGATTGTTGATGTTGATGAGGACGAAGAGAGCGATGCTGATGAAGAGGAGACGGAGATTGTAAGAGGGGTGAATGGGTTGAATAGGACGGCTCTACATCATCAGTCGAATGGTTTTACTGTGGTAGATGGAGAGGATGAGGAAGAGGAGGAAGGTGAAGATGAAGAAGACAATGATTCTGTGGAGGAGATCGACGAAGAAGATGGCGATGATGATGATGTGGTTGAGGTACATGAGATTGATGACAGTGATGATGAAGAAGATGGGGTTGAAGATGACGATGATGACGAGCAGGATGAGGATGAAGATGAAGAGGAGGTTGATAATGAAGAAGGGGATTTTGCAGAGCCAGAGAGTGGGAGTCGGTTGACCAGCACAGAAGGGGAAATTGATGGCCATGAGCAGGGTGAGGAAGAAGCTGAGGATGATAATGGGGAGACCGGAGAGGAAGAGCAGGGTGTTGAGGAAGTCAGAGTGTTTGAAGAAGAAGAAGACGTTGAAGAGGAGGTGATGCTCTCTTCCTTTTCTCTTCTCTAACTCAATTTTTTTCTCCTTGCGTATGGTGCCTTTGGGTGTGGTTAATTCATCACTATATATTATGCAGCATATATTATGTTTGTGTACTTATTTTTGTTGTTAGAATTAATTTTTCAGTACTGTTGTGATTTGGTTTTTTGAGGATAAGGTGAACTGTCACTGATTTATATTTATGTGAGCGTTATGTTGCTGTTGGGTCAGCTTAGTAGTATCTCTCTCTCTATCTATATGCATCTTTTATGTCAGTTTTCTTTGCATACTTGGTGTGATTTCTTCCTTTGTACTTATCTGTGTATTGTATTTCTCAGTGCAGATTTGTTAGAACAAATTTCCACGGAGTATACCAACAATATAATGTGTATCACTGCCAAATGTAATAAAGTCCATTCAGTTTTGGATTTTGTCAGCTTTTTAATGGCAAAATCAACCAAGTGATGGATTACCAAGTAACTTGAGTGGTATTTCCTCAGTCTACCCTTTGGGAGGTTGAGGACTTATTAGGGAATAACAATGCGTAGCTTGATATTTCTTGTTGGAGTAATATATTGTCTAAAATATTAATGCATTAAAATCATAAATATGCTCAATTTTGGCTGTTTTGGTTGTTTTTTCAGTTGATTCTAACATATTAGTACTGTTGGCTTATATTTTCAATTTTTGATGACATTAGATTCTGTGGTATAATTTTCCATCAAATTTTTGTATTTTGTGGTCTGCGTCTTCTTGCTGGGCGCATGTGATTTGTCTATGTATGATGACACGATTATCGTTGCTTCTCTTTAATTTGTATGCTTTTGTTTACTGTGATTGTTAGTTATATTTCCTTGGTCATATGATATCCTGCAACTGGGGTGAAAATCTCTAGTTAAACATATAGTTAATTGTCAAGCAATGGTATTTCATGTTATTGGTTAAAAAAGGTCTTATTTAATATGCTGCACAGCTTCAGCCTGTGGGATGTGGTTAAATGAACAAGACCCTTATATTTAATTAGATAAAAAGGAATTGATCGACTTATATTTGAATTTTATGTTTAAAATGGATTTTGCTATAATTATTTTTATTTATTTTTTTTATATTTGAATTTTGTACTTCAATATGTGAATTCTGTTATTTTAGAATTTTAATCTGCTTAGATACATCTTTAGTAGCTAAAAGTTTTTTGGTGGTGGTATTTTGCACTTGTGTTGTTATAAGAGTTGATTTTGCAAATATTTCTGTGCCTTCCCACCTTTTTTTTGATAAAAATTTCCCTTGTTTTTCTTCCTTAGTTGAATCCCCAATTCAGATATCTTTCTCTTGTTCCATAATTTTATATATATGCATCTGCTGTTGTATTTTTTAAAAAAAATTTATTTATCAATTGGATGGTGGAATAAAGGATCTTTCAGTACTAAAGCTTTCAGAATTAATGGACTTTTTGACATATTTTTATTGGAATATAAGCTGCTATTTTTTGTCTGTTGATAAACTTGATATGGAATGGGTTATTTGCTGGTACAATTTTTATTTTTATTTATTTTTTATTTTCTGTAAGTTTTTTTATTTTGGGGCGTCAACTTATATTTATATGCTTATTTACTGTTTTTTCCCCTTGGCTTTGGATGGCAGGAAGAAGATTATGGTTCAGGCTATTTAGTTCAACCAGTTGGGCAGACTGAAGAAGATGCTGGAGGCAGTGATATGGACCCGGGGAATGAAGAAGATGATCCTGAATTGGAGGAAGAAGTTGAAGATGAAGATTTTGAAGCTGGCAAAGTTCAGGTGTTACCATCATCATCCTCTTCGCACCGTAAGAGAAAGAGAGATGAAGATCAGGAGGATGGTGATGAAGATGAGGAAGAAGAGGATGTTGTTGACTGCAACAACTCATCAAAGCACCATTAGCAATTGGCAGATGTTTGGAGGTATGTTCATGGAACCAAATGATGGGGAGGAGTGGTAGATAGTTTAGGCTATCTATCTTCTAGGCAAGAAGAAAGGAAGTGGGAACTTGTTTTGGATGGTAAATTGTAGTTCAAAAGGTCGTTAGTCCTTTTCATCCTTGCATAGCCGTTACTATGGTTATTCAAATTGCAGTTTAGAGCCGTTGCTTGCTTATTTAAATTGCAGTTGAGAGAGGTTGCAATGGTCGTGTATCCCGCCTTGGTAGTCAGTTTCAAAAGGTGGCTTGAATTGGAGGGAAAGAAACGTTAAAAGAGAGAGAGAGAAAAAAAAACCTACATATATTTTTAGTCCTTTTAGTTTTGTTTTTGTTTTTTTTTTTTTTTAAAGTTTTTAATTGGCTTGTAAAACGGTTGTAGATAGTTTTGTGACCAATGCATTGCATTTAATCAAGCAAGGTTTATTTCAGGTACATTTTTATCATCTCAATGGACACGTGTGATATGTCTGATACTTTATTACAGGTGCCTGGGTACGGACGGATTTGCTTGGCCCTTGAATCCATCGTTATTGATAGTAGTATTTTGTTGGAGCTCCATGTTCAGGTTACCCGGGTCTTGGTTTGATTGGATTACTGGTTGTTTTTGGCCTGCCTTATTGAAGCCCAATCTTCATTCGATACTTAAATATATGTATCATTATTGCGCAAGTTGATTGTTGAGTTGGTGGTGGTTGTTGTAGAGCTGTCGGTGTCTTATTGGATGATAGTAACTCAGTAGACGTGTGTTCCAGCTCATAATCAGGCGTAGTCGAATTGGTTTTGACAAAGTGTTGGGGACTTGGTTTAGCCACTTTTGTCGAGCTTCAATTTATGTGGCTCGGCTTTTCTTGTCTCTATGCTTGGCTGTTGAGCGTTGGGCCACCGACCAACTGGTATTTTGTGGGCTTAAAACTTTATTAACGTGCGCCAAATTGAATTTTGTGAAAAGGCCTCAGGCTTGACCCAGTGGACTGCGTCTTGCCGAAATTTTTTGACGCATGTTATATTATCCCCAAGTTATTTTTATTAGTTTCTAAATAAAATTAACCTTTTGCATAATTATAGTTGAAGACTTCCCCATCTCTGATACTCCCTTTGGTGGAAGGGAAAGGGTTGATGGGCTATATCTAAGGGAACGATGGGATGAGAGATTTTACAAATTTGTAGATAAATGGCTAAAAATAATATTTTATATTTATTTTTTCTATGAGAATGCTTTATTCCTCCTTACTTCTTTTGGAAGAATTCCATTTCCATCCATAAGGTTTTTTTTATTTTTTTTATTTTTATAAATTACACCAAATCCTTGTACTCTTATAAAAAAAAAAAAAAGCAAATTATTGATGGAAGACTAACTGCTGTTAAGACTTGAGGGGCAATGAAAGATTACATAAAAACCCACAATAAGACGGTGTCACCATTCTTTTCCAAACTAATTATTGCAAATGTACACATAGTATTGTAATTATATAAATGTGGGTGTGCTGATTCGATCAATTTACAAAGTATGGTATATGTTTTTGTATGTGTGTGTGAAAGGAAGTAACAAAATTCAAAAGAAGGGCATTCTGGATTACTAACAAACAATCATTGTGGAGATTACTCCTGTTGTACTATTTCTTATTTTTAACAATGGAATTGTTGTTTTAACTAATAATATAATTCGTATGAAATTGTTGTGGGGTTACTATTATGAATTATTCTCTCTCTTCCTTAATTCTCCAGATACGGTAGGGGTTATATTTTTCAAATTTACTCATATAAATTATGAAAGCCATGAGGCAATGGACACTATTGAGATATTAAATGGTTATTGACAGGATAAGATTGTTAGGACTACACAAGCTCCTCATCTTATATTTTCTCCACACAAAAAAATTTCCCTCTCTCTCTCTCTCTAAAATTTCTCCAACTATGCACGCATCAAAGATGCTGCTCCTCTCTCCAGCCTGCACCTCACTGCCTGCACCACATAGAAATAGAAGTAGTAGTTACAATGCCATATATAGAAGAACAGGCTCATACGCACCGCTCAAGGTGTTGTCAATGGCAAATGAGAGCAGCGAAAGTGAGAGCTCCACCATAGCAAAAGTGGCCATAGTGGGTGGACTGATCTCCACGCCGGTGATAGGGTGGTCTCTCTACACGCTCAAGACCACGGGCTGTGGCCTCCCACCCGGACCAGGGGGCTCAATAGGTGCACTAGAAGGCGTCAGCTACCTGGTGGTTGTGGCGATTGTGGCTTGGTCATTGTACACCAAGTCCAAAACTGGCTCAGGTCTGCCTAACGGCCCTTTCGGGTTGTTAGGTGCTGTGGAAGGTCTGTCATACTTGTCTCTGCTTGCCATTGTTGTTGTGTTTGGGTTGCAGTTCTTTGAGCAAGGCTCCATTCCGGGACCACTCCCCAGTGACCAGTGCTTTGGCTGAGGTCTCCCTCTTCTCTTTTAGTTATGTACTGTTGTTATTTCTTCAATATATATTGTTTTGTGACCACTAGACGAGTTGAATTCTCTATCATTGTGTTTGGTAAAAGTTGTGCTAAATTTATGCTCTATTCAGCAATAAAGAATGTCCCCGCATTTCCCCAAATTTTACTCAACAAAACTACTTTTTACAAATAACATCATGTTGTATCATCCAAACATATAAATGTCTACTAATCTAGCTAACATTGAACCTGCTATTCATAACATTACAAGCTATTAAGGAATTGAAGAATTACAGATGAATTTACAAAAGAATTTAACTGTGTGAACAGCAAACTCAAAGAAGACGTTGCTATTACAAGAATTGCAAAACCTACTATCCCTATATTGTTAGTTTTGGGTCTAATTTGATTTTCTAGTTGAGCTTGTTTTGTGAATTTTTTCAATTCCGTGTAACCAGTTATATAGGCGGATCTCTTAGATTCCATTGTAATGCAGTGACCCAATTTCTTCCGATTTTAAGAAAAGATAAAATTCTGAAAAATGGGTCGATGGAGTAACGTGTTAGAGATAAGAATGGGATTCAATTGCTGTGTTTGGTTGAAATGAATAAGCTGATTATAACACTTGCTAGAGTATTAGTTTTGACAAAGACTTTAACCCCAAATATGCAAAGAGAAAAAAAGGCCTTCGCATACTCTATTGAAGTTGCCTAAAGAAAGTGAAAAAGAACTCCAGTAGATGTCTTAGCATACTCTGTGAAATGGTTCCAGATGCTGATTCCAAATTCATCTTAATTTAGAAACAAAAGCGACGTGGGTGAGGAAGACTTGCTGCTTGAAAGGTGTGAGAATAAACTCTTGGGCGCTTATGAAACAGTTTGTAAGAGGGGAATCCAAACAAGAAAAATAGATATCAAAATCACAACAAAAACCTCATAACAAATGGGACCAGGAGTAATTGTTGTGGGTCTGTGAACATGAAAAATAGAAAAGATGAAAACCCATTGGTCACTCATCAGAACTTGAGAAATAGAAAAGATGAGGGCTCTTAATGATTGTTAGTGTGGTAATCGATCGTGGAATGCTAATGACAGCAACGATAACGGCATCTGCGTCGGCGGTGATGTTCCGTTGGTGAGGCTTTTAGGAATTAGGTTATAAGTTATAATATATACGTAGTAAAATTTTAATATGGCATACATGTCATTAAAAGTTATCTTGAAAAGGTCGTCCTCGATCATAGGACGCACTGGAGGCTTTTTCCTTACGCCGTCAAGGGTTTCTCTGGCATCAAAGTTTTCTCGTTGTATCGAGAGTTTCGGAGTGTTGTGTCCCTCTGTTTGGTCACCTTGAGTGGTGTTTCTTCACTTTTCCATTCTGGTTTTCCTTGTTCCCCATTATTTTGAGGGTGGTCTGCTTGGATCTGGCTGGTGGGCTGTGTTTTGGTTGGATTTGGGTGGATTCCTTCAATCTCTGGGGTTTTTGAGGTTTCCTTTTGTTTCTCGGTCTGGGTGTTTGGTGTTTGATTTGTGCTGGGTGTTTGGTGTTTGGTGTTTGGTTTGGGTTTGGATTACTCTGGTTTCGGTTGTTTGGTATGGCTTCATTTTGTAATTTCTCTCGATTCCGTTTCATTCTTCATTGTCTGGTTCTTTTTTAGGTGTTTTGGTGGTGTACCAATCCGACTCCGCTTCTGTCTCTGTTGTTTTGGCGGGCTATCATGAGTCCGATGCGTGGAGTGATGATTGGTGGTGTTGGTCGGAAGGGAGGATGGGGGTAGTTAAGACCTAATTTAAATTGGGGGGCTCTAGTTGGAGAGGGTTCGCTAGGGTTGGGATGGGGGTTGCTGAGAAAATGGTTGTTTTTGAACTTGATACTGATGGTTTATTGGCGGTCTGTGTAGGCGTTGGGGGGTTATTGGTTCCATGGTCAAGGGAGGAAGGGGTTTGCTGGTGGTAGTAAGGGTGCTCACTGGTGTACCTTTTGTTGTCGGCACTTGCTGTCGGTGTTGTGGATGTCAGTCACTGCTAAGATGACGTCATCGCTGACGTCAGGGAAGGTTCTCGATTTTGTTCATCTAGTGGGACCCGTGTCTCTGCCAAACTACGTAATCCTGTTGACTAAGGCGTACCCGCCTTTATTGGGTAAGTTGTTTCTTCACTTCTAAGAGGCTACAGTGATTGGGTTTGTGGATGGGCTTATAAGCCATCTTCACTACGCTTTGCGATATGATACTTCTGAGGGATTATTACCTCGAGCAGTGCACGACGGTCACTTCACCCTTCGTCAGTGATAAGACAAGTGGTTGAGTTTCTCAGTGCTTGGCCTTTGGGCTATGTTTGGGCTATTTATTTGTTGTTCTTCCGCTATTTCATATATGTGTGGCTTTTATCTCTTTTCTTTATTTCTCTATTACCAAAGTGGGCGATATTTATATCCCCTTTGTTTCTTAACTGTAGTTTCTTTTCTGAGGGGATCATGGAGCAAGACATTCTGACACAGCTCGGGGGATTAACTTTAACGCTGGCTGAGAAAGAGCCGATTCACCTGTCAACCGAGGATATGGCCCAAGGAGTTCAGGTTTGTATTGAGAGTTGTTAAACAATAATTGATTCTAGAGGGGGGGTGAATAGAGTCAACGGCCAATTAATAAAATTTACAATTTCACTAGAAATAAACAATTATGCAATAATCAATTAAAGTAGATAATAATTCAAAGCATAAATGTAAGAGAGATAGGGATAAGAAATTGCAAACAATGATACAGAGATTTTTAGCGAGGTTTGGAAACTCCTACTCCTCAGCTCAAGATCCCTTTTAAGACTTCCCAATCCACTAGAGCTTCTCCTTAATGGTAGAGAGCAAACCTTCACATGAAGCAAGCATTTGCTTCCCTTTCTTGCTAGGAGAACACCTTTCTCCTAGGCTTCTTTCAGGTTACACCAATCATTACAAGTTTGTAGAAAAGATTGTAGTTAAAGTACAAGATTGAATCTTTCTCAAGATAGATTTACAATTTTTAAGCTCACAACTACAGTAAGTAAATAAATGAAATAAATCTCAAATCTCTAGAATGGAATGAGTGATCAAATGATTGCCTTGAATGCTCTAGAATGAAGCTCTTGATTAATCTTCAAATTGCTCTCAATAGATGTATATTGTAACACAAGCTGCAACTCCTATTTATAGAGAGAAGAAGTCAATATAGCTGTTGGAGGTCAATATAGCTGTTGGAGATGAGGTGTCAATAATCCAAGTTCGTAGGTAGCCGTTTGATTTGAAATTGACTATGTATCGGTCAGCTGATGGAGCATCATCGGTCGGCTGAAAGCCTTTCGTCAGCTGGCTGATCCCCAATCATCGGTCGGCCGAAACGGTTGTTTAAAGTTACAGCTCCCGGGACTTCATGAAACCTTTATGTCGGTCGACTGATGGATAACCTTCGGTCGGCTGATACATATATAATTTTATGAAAAGCCTAATCGGTCGACTGAACCTTCATTTTCAGTCGGTCGAAACTCCTTGAATGTGATCCTTCACTTTCCTTCTCTGTTTCTAGGCTTTCAAATAGATTTTGCCATTTAACTCATGATCTTAGAATGTGTGAGCTTCACAACTTTCATATATTATTTTATTTTATCATTTGATTCTATGGTACTACCCCATTTGAATTTGACATTCTTGATTGCTTTTCTTCTCTGTGTTTCACTTTTGAAGTTTGGAAGAGAATGACTTGTTTTCTTTTGTCTTTGGAGTGCATAGAATATTTAGCTTGGCTTTGCCTTTCCTTGTTTTCCACTTCACTTTTGGACTTCCAATGACTAACCTGTTAAATGTTCGCAATGCAAAGGTTAGTTCTTAAAACACAATTAATGTTTTGTGATCGTCAAAATTAGTCTTGGGGTTAACAAGAGTCTTTTTGCCAAAGTTTGGACTTCTAAATCTATTACTCTTGTAGGTGTGAAGTTTACGTTTGGAAAGCTTTTTGCTAAGTTGTGGCCAAAGAATCAACATAAGCAACCCCTGTACCAGCGGATTCAGGTTTTTAAGGTTGCACATAACTTGTTCCAGTTGATTATTCCAGACACAGGTGTTCGTCATGGGGTGATTCAGGGCTGTCCTTGGTTATTTGATGGTGACCTTGTGGTTATTTGATGGTGGGAGGAGGGTCTTTTAAATTCTGAAGGTCTGTTCCAAGTCTCTCCATTCTGGATACAACTTTCCGATGTTCAAGCGGATTTCTTATCTAAAAAGGTGGGCCAACGAATTGCTAACTCCTTTGGTAGATGCTTAAAAGTTGAATTACGGGACAAGAGTGGTATGGATGGTAAAGAGAAAGGTCTTGCGGATAGTCTTGCAGATGGAGCTGAATGTTTTACAACCTCTTAGACGGCATGTGGTCTTATATAACCCGACTGGGGTGGCTTCCACGGCTCAAATTCGGTATGAAAAATTACCTTCTTTTTGTTTCTTATGTGGTATCATTGGAAAGTTTGTACTGTGGAAAGGGGTCCTGGGATACCTGATTTTAAGGAGTATGGGGGTTGGCTTGGGGTCGAAAGTTTTATAGGGCGCGATTTATAGCTAACCAGAGAAGAAAGGAAGTGCTAGTTGGGGTGAAAATAAAAAACAATGGCTTTATATGGAGGATAATGACTCTGATGGGGTGGACGATGTGGGTCACTTCCCTTCCTCCTCCTTGGCTCGTCCTTTTCCTGAATGGCCTGGTGACTCTCGTGGGATCTTTGGAAGCCATTTGGGTAGAAACTATTTCCCTCAAATGCTTCATTTGCAACCACCAGTGGTTGCTCTGTCATGTGTGGGTGATCCAAATCGAATGCTAGGTGGAGAGGGTCATGGTGAGGGGTCTACAGGTGCTGTTGATTTACCAATTCTGCCAGCTGTGGAAAATAATGGTAAAGGGGTTATGGTGGATTTTAATCCTGGGACAGATCAATTGCCGGTGCCTAAGGGGGTACTATGGTAAGGTCGTCCTCCCAGAGTCATGTGGCTTCTATGCGGTGGATGATGCAGTGAACTTTGATCCAGTTACCTCTCCTATTAAAGGCCGGATTTTGCCGTTGGAGCGTTGGGCCCAAATAGTTAAAGAAAAGCAGAAGGGCAAGGCGAAGTCCACAGCTAGAAAGGGCTCTCCCTCGGATTCGTCCGCCACTTCAAATAGTCAAGGTTCCTCGC